ACTCGTTGCTGTACATTTTGTTGCAGTTTTGGACGAAGTCCCATCTTTTTCACGGCATCGGTTTCAACTGTGCTTGTCTTACTTTGCATTTTCGATGGATAATTGAATTGTTTCAAAATGCAATCAGAGCTCCATCCATCCATTGTAATGATCTCTTAACAAATCTTACGAAACAAGGTTGAAACTTTGAATGATGAAAAACACCTTGCCTCCCCTTTGTATCGTTTGTTTGGCAATTTTTCTACAATAAAAGAATCATTATTTGCATCCAAATTACCAATGATAAGAGCGGCAATATATAGCTGTGCTCACGATTTTTTTTTATCAAGATATCGTAATAAACTAAAAATATCGTTCGATATCGTTATTATGATGGAATCTTAATAACGCTATCAACTTTTTATCGGGTTATTAACTATATTCAAATAATAACGTTATCGGATGAATCTTAATAATATCGTTTTGAAGTTATTAAGATCGAATCCTGATAATTTATCAACATTCAATCTTAATAATCATCAAGTTCTGGAAGTGGGTTTTGGTGGATCCTCAGGATGGACCAGATCCGGTTTGACACTGCCCTTGGCCCATCCTGAAGATCCACTTCCAGAACTGGGAGCAGTTCTGATCGATCCTGAGGATCCACCAAAACCCACTTCCAGAACTTGATGATTATTAAGATTGAATGTTGATAAATTATCAGGATTCGATCTTAATAACTTCAAAACGATATTATTAAGATTCATCCGATAACGTTATTATTTGAATATAGTTAATAACCTGATAAAAAGTTGATAGCGTTATTAAGATTCCATCATAATAACGATATCGAACGATATTTTTAGTTTATTACGATATCTTGATAAAAAAAAATCGTGAGCACAGCTATAGATTAAATGGGCACAACAAAGCACAATTCAAACCATTTTCGGTTCAAAACAATTATGAATATTTTAAAAACGAAAAAGATTTTACACGTAGTTCTTATGGGAGACATATTTTTTTCCATACAAAGGTAGTTACCGTTACCGACCAATGGGACATATATGTCCCATCATTTTTTTCATATTTCTAGTTAAAAAAATTAATTTTTGATAACATTTTTATTATGGTTTTTGGGGTCGCTGAGCACGAATCTGCAATCAGAATTGCAAAATTCCCATCCGTTCAATCTTGGTCGTCAAAGGGTTAAATAGTGTTTCTCGACTTGTATGGGAGTTCGATATTTGAATGATTTAATAAATAACATCTAACCCAAAAATGGAAATGAATGAAGGTAGCCGCATGTCAACAGTCCAATATAGTCTGACTTAAACGAGTTAAAATGAAGACTAACTGAAGCATTAAACATTGTAATAACGGCTTCAATGACTGCAAAAGTCGTCATTCAATTTATCAAAGAGGTGATAGATTGAAGACAAGTTCTACGTCTAATCGGAACAAGTCCCTGTTGGTAGTCATGAATTTGCAATTCATAAGAAATATGATTTTTTTATTTTTATACAGTATACACTGATAAAAGGCTGGAAGGAAATATTCCAATTCGTTGGAATTTGACAAATGCGGAAATGCTGTCAATATTCCAACTATGGTTGGACAATTCACAAAATCGTCTGCAATGACAACATTTACAACGCAGGGTTGGAATATTTCCTTCCAGCCTTTTCTCAGTGTAGGATAAAGTTTAATTTGACATAATTATTGGTTCTCGACTAGGAAAAAGAATGACATAATATATGAATAAGCGAAAAAGAGCGAATGACCAAACATGAAAATGTCTAATGAAAGCCAATTGACAACGGTTGAACCAATAGTATAATTACACGTGTGAAAAAAGATAGACTAACTGGAGCATCGTACATATTAGTGACGGCCTCAATGACTGCAAAAGTCATCGTTCAATTTATCAAAGAGTTTATAAATTGAAGAGAAGTTTTACGTCCAAACTAAACAAGTCCCTGTTGGTAGTTTTGAATTTACAACTGTCGAAACTGGAAGATATGGATAATTTGAATTAACCTTTGTAAAACATTGACAGAACTTAATCAGTTTCCATTATAAATGAGTAAATAATAGGTTCAATGAATGGCCATATAAAAGTCAATGTTGCTAAAAGACAAAACCCAAACTTTTGTAAGTTGATCGTCTTATGTCAAAATCAACAATTTCAGACGCACTCTTAGAGTTTTTCAACATAAAAATGACATAAATACGTAGAAGCTTCTGAGTTGCCTACACTGTTTAAAATTTACGCCCGACTATAGACGGAATTTCGGCTGGTATATGCTCCCAGTCTATATTTCACCTACAACTTCAACTGAAAATCTACTTTCAGGCGTATATTCGTCTGAAATCTTGGCGAAAAAACGGCTGGAATATAACTTACTGGGAGGAATATCGACTGAGGCCGTATACTAGCCGGAATTCCGTCTATTTTCAAACTTTGTAACGAACGCACAAACGAAGACACAACAACGGAGAAAACACAAGCAAGAATGTGCGCCCTACACTCATTCGCTTCTACTCGGTTCGTTCATCGAGCGAAAGTTTTCTGTGTATATGTGACAATATGGTTCAACGAGCGCACGTGCAATATTGCCACTTATAAACAGACACTGTTTGCGTTGTGAATGTATGCTCGATGAACGAACCGAGTAGAAGCGAATGAGTTGTGTCTTCGTTTGTGTGTTCGTTAGGTAACTCAGAAGCTTCTACGTATTTATGTCATTCTTATGTTGAAGAACTCTAAGAGTGCGTCTGAAATTGTTGATTTTGACATAAGACGATCAGCTTTCAAAAGTTTGGGAATTGTCCTTTACAAAAAAAAATTGTGTAGAAATCACAGTTTTGCATCATTAATTCAGTAAGAAAACAACTTGTCAGTATTTTAAACTAAAAATTTGGTTTCACTCGTTACGTACTGATGTGATGAAGTTAATAAGCTGGTTGAATTTCTGAATGGATCAGCCATTTGGTTAGCTTATTTATACATATATCTGATGAATAATTTTCTTTCTTTCTAGTCAAATTTAACACATCTACCAAGATCAGAGTACGTCCCTGGAATTGGCTTGGGTATTGCAAAATGTCCTTACGACCCTCAAGACAATTCTACTGCTGTTTGGGTAGAGAATGGCAATCCAGGTGATTTGCCTGCTCTGGTGAGTTTACAAATAATCAATATTTCACAATATACCATGTTTATACTAAGCTTCGAATAAAATCGAAATTCCACATTTAGAGAATATTGAATGTTAAATACGGTGGCAATAAAAAATACTTTCTTCATCTACACTTTCTTCAAGTATTCGGGTACAAATGCAGAATTTACGAAAGCTGATACCGTTATATTTCGTACGGACTTGTATAATATGACAACCGGCCGAAAAGAGTTTAATTTCAAGCGAACTTTAAAATATGATTCAAAGTGGTTGGACAGTGAGTATAAATTATTGTTAATACTTACACAAACATATTTCTATGGGTGAGATTGAGAGTAGTGGATGTTTCACTGACTTTGTTATGAAAGAGAAGAGTAAGTTTCTTTCGTCTTAAAAATGGTTAAAGGCGAATATGTTCATTTTTGGTCAGCTATCACAGTGTTTCGCGGTTTTCTCGGAACTGATAAGAGATAACAACTTAGTCTCTTCGGCAAAGTTGTAGTACTTCAGTTTCTCTATAACTCTTGCTGAAGCCAGTTATCAGTTTCGCGAAAAGCGCGAAAAATGATAAGGAAAAAATGTTCTTTATAAATTTTGCTTTTCTAAAGGTACCATTTCCTAGGCGGCCGATTTTAGTCGCCGAATTTTTGCTATAATTTTTGAGCCACTGAACGGATTTTAATAAAGATGTTAACTCCATCTTTCTTAAAATACAAAAAAATTAAAAATCAATCTGGTGGTTCGATAAATATAGCAAAAATTCTGAAAATCGGCCAAGATCGGATCTTGAATCGGCGACCAAAATCGGCCGCCTAGGAAATGGTTCCTTAAATGCGCGATTTGCGCCAAAGCGATAAGAGATAACTGCCTACAGCTAAGTTATAGAAGACATCGAGTACTATAACTTTGCCGACTAAGAGTCCAAGTTATTATCTCGTATCAGTTTCACATAAACCGTGAAAACCGCGAAAAACCGCGACAGCCCAAGGCATCTAAACATACTCTACTTTAACGCGAACAAAATCTTCAGGAAACATACTCGCCTGAATCGAAAAAAAACACACTCTACTCTCAATCTCACCCATAGATTTATTATAAACATATTTATTTATCTATTTATTATTTATTGATTTCCAGAGCCAAACTTTGTTGGGTCATTTGATATAGGAGAATATGTATATTTCTTCTTCCGTGAAACTGCAGTGGAATACATCAATTGCGGTAAAGCCGTTTACTCAAGAATCGCACGGGTTTGTAAGAAAGATACGGGCGGAAAAAATATTTTGAGCCAAAATTGGGCGACGTACCTGAAGGCTCGTTTGAATTGCAGTATATCTGGCGAATTTCCATTTTATTTCAACGAAATTCAAGCAGTGTATCAGTTACCCAATGACAAAACTAAATTTTACGCGACTTTTGCGACTAGCACGAATGGCTTAGTAGGTTCCGCTGTTTGCAGTTTCGATATAAATGAAGTACACTCTGCATTTTCGGGTACTAGTTTAATTTTTAAACAAAATATACATTTGAAAATATTTATAACTTTAAACATATATTATACATATATTTTTTTTCGATAAAAAAGGAAAATTCAAGGAACAGGCAACTTCAAATTCAGCATGGTTACCAGTATTAAAATCAAAAGTTCCCGAGCCTCGCCCGGGTACATGTGTAGATGATACATCGAATTTACCGGATACAGTATTGAATTTCATTAGATCACACCCATTGATGGATAAAGCTGTGAATCATGAGCACTCCAACCCAGTATTTTATAATCGTGACTTAGTGTTCACAAAATTGGTCGTGGACAAGTATAAGATTTGCGCATTATTGTTTATTTTTCGTACATCATTGCGTTTTTTATTTCCAGAATCAAAATTGATCTACTGAATCAAGAGTATACCGTATATTATGTTGGCACAAACTTGGGTCGTGTTTATAAAATTGTTCAATTTTATCGAAATAATGAGCCAAACTCCAAACTGTTGGATATATTTGAAGTAGCCCCTGATGAACCTATACAAGTAATCGAAATCAGTCAATCGCGGAAATCCTTATATGTCGCAACCGATAACAGAATAAAGCAAATTGATTTAGCCATGTGCAACCGTCGGTATGATAGCTGCTATCGCTGTGTCAAAGATCCATACTGCGGTTGGGATAAAGATACGAGTACCTGTCGTCCGTATGAACTGGGTTTACTCCAAGTAAGATGAAAAAAACTAAATACGTAATCAAAATATATGTATTCATTGCCGACAAATTGTTCGGACCCTATTTTCCCTGCTACTTATTGTTGCATTGAATAAAAATACTTTTTCAAACAATTTAGGATGTTGCCAACGATACATATGATATTTGCGATACAAGTGTTCTCAAGAAAAAAGTTGTTATTACATATGGCCAAAGTGTTCATCTCGGATGTTTCGTGAAAATTCCAGAAGTATTGAAAAGTCAACCGGTTATGTGGTACCATCATTCAAAGGAAAAAGGAAGGTGGGCATTTCAAACAAATTACACAAGATATAAATGAAGAAGAAGGGTAATACAGAAGTGTTTAAACTAAAGCGCAACATGCAATTTGGTTCTTAAAAACGTTACATGAATCGTCGCTTCAGTAGCGTAATAATTGCGTAATGCGGATTTTGGATGTGGTTTTTTGTGTTTTTCGCGAAAATGATATCGAAATATTATCTTTAATAAAGTTATAGAATTGGTCAAGCCCCAAATCTTTGCTGAACACACTAGCTTACTATCTCTTATCATTTTCGCGAAAATCATAAAAATCAAATTAAAAATTCACATTTTTAATGTTAAGCTTCTACTGAAGCGACGATTCTTGTAACGTTTATAAGAGACACATTTCATGTTACGCTTCAGTTGAAATACTTCTGTATTCCCATTTCTATTATCAACAACACATTTACATATTTTCATCATTACAAAGGTATGAAATCAAGTACAGCCCGACAAAGTACATCGAAACAACTGAGCGAGGACTAGTTGTAATTACTGTAAATGAGGCAGATGGTGGAAGATATGATTGCTACTTGGGAGGCTCCCTATTGTGTAGCTATAGTATAACGGTTGATGCCCACAGGTAATATGAACAATTTTTTTTTAAATTTTCAACCGCTGATTTGATATCAGCGCCGCTCATTTAACAAGTTGAACTAAAAATAACACACTCCTATATCACCATGTATAGCATGGATTATTTTAAGGATTTTTTGGAACGGACCAGAATTTCGAAAAAATACAAGGGGTGTTTTTTTAAATATTGTGCGAACGAAGTTTATTTGAAGTGTCAAAAATACTAAGATCCAGTGATTATTTAAACAAATGTCGGTTAATCACGACATTGGCCCTTCAACAGTTAAAATAGTAAATTCAAACATATTTAGGGTGGTTAAAATTAGGCGAGCGTAGCGAGGCGAAAATTGTTATTCAACTACAATCAGTCCAGCGTTGTCATATGGTTGATGCGTTTTCATAAAGATAAAAACTGAATCTACTAAAGCGTAGGCCCATCTTAGATGCTCGAAGAATGTCGCTTTCGAATGATGTATTGATCAAATAAATAGTTTCAAGGCTTTTGGAAATGCGAATATGCCAAAGATGACCGATTTTCGAATTGTGAAGCTTGTTTCGATTGTCAAAAACAGAGCATTGAAGATGCTGGCTATGTAGTGCTAACATTGGTTGCCTGCATATTCGCTGTGATGCGCGTTTGTTCATCTCCCGATTCTCACACACAGTGTTTATCTCTTGCATTCACA